AAAAATAAATAAAAATAAAACAAGGAGCTTTACTTATTAGATGCAGATAAAGAAAACTATAAAAGCATATATTTAGGGTTTAGGGTTTAGGGTTTAGGGTTTAGAACTTTGGGTGTACTACGCCTCTGGGTCTACGATATAGGGTTTGTGGTTTCTGGTTTAGGGTTTACGTGTCTAGCGAAGAAAGTGTGTTGCCTTAGGGGATAATTAGGGTTTAGGGTTTAGGGTTTAGGGTTTAGGGTTTACGTGTCTAGCGAATAGAGGATGTTGCCTTAGGGGGTATTTAGGAGGCCCTGTGTACAGCCAGTGCGAGAACAGCGACGATTGAAGTGCAGCAGCATCTACATAAGGTCTGTCTAAGCCAATGCTCGGAGGAGTTTGCTGCTGCTGCTGCTGCTGCTGCTGCTGCATACATATGTCTTCGTACACTGCAGCAGAGCGACGCGTGCTCTGCTGCATCATCTTCTCCTGCTCCTGCTGCTGCTGCTGCTGGTTTTGCTGTTGTTGTTGCTGCTTCTCCTGCTGCTGTTGCTGTTGTTGCTGTTGCTGCTGCTGCTGCTGTTGCTGTTGCTGCTGCTGCTGTTGCTGTTGCTGTTGCTACGGGGACAGTTGCTGCTGGTGCTGATGGTGCAATTTGTTTTGCTGCTGGTTTGCTATTGTTGCTGTTGCTTCTGTTGCTTCTGTTGCTGTTGCTGCTGCTGAAGCCGAAGCTGAAGCTTCTAGTGCAGGCGATGCTGCAGCAGCAGCAGCAGCTGCTGCTGCTGCTGCTGCCGCTGCTGCTCTAACTGTTGCTGTTGGTGAGGATAGGAACAATGTTTATGTTACTGCTTCTGTTGCTGCTGTTGCTGCTGTTGCTGTTGCTGCTGCTGCTGCTGCGGCTGCTATAAGTGGCGTTCCTGCTGCTGCTGCTGATTATTGTGCTGCTGCTGCTGCTGCTGCTGCTGCAGCAGCTGGTATTGTTGTTGTTGTTGATTCCGTTGCTGCTGCTGCCGCCACTTGAGCAGCAGCAGCAGCGAATATGCGCTGTACCCTCGAGCTCTAATCTCTAAACCCTAAACCCTAAACCCTAAACCCTCGGACCGCCTGAACGGGGGTTTAGGGTTTAGGGTTTGGGGTTTAGGGTTTAGAAGTAATTCACCCTGACAAAAAAACAATTTTCTATTGAATTTTCTGACTTTTTTTGTTGCTGCTGCTGTTGCTGCTGCTGCTGCTGCTTCTGCTGCTGCTGCTGCTGCTGCTGCAGTGGGGGGCCCCTACAGTCCCCTGGGGCCCCCCTACCAAGCAAGATAGTGCTGCTGCTGCTGTGAAGGCTAACAATGCAGCAGCAAACAGCTGCTGCTGCTACTTCTGCTGCTGCATATTCATTTAATTCTTGCTGCGGTTTATCCCCGGGGGAAGAGGCAGCCGCCGCAGCAGCAGCAGCAGCAGCAGCAGCAGTAGCAGTAGCAGCAGCGCTAGTCGGTGCAGCAGCAGCAGCGGTGAAAACAGTAGCAGCAACAGCAACAGAGCGAGCACCAGCAGAGCCAGCAACAG